CCTGGCTGGGTGCTGGACCCCCATTGCGGCCTGGGCTATGCCTTGCACTATTTCCCCCCTTTTGGCCTGGTGGCCCTTCCCCCTCCTTAAAAGGGGCAGGTTCAGGGGCCCGGTGCTCTCCTCTCCCCATGCACCTCCATGCCCATTTGCACAGCTGCCCAGGTACCCCCAACGCTGGGGAGGGGTCAAACAGGGAGGGGTGGCGGGACCAGTCCCTGTATCTATTTAAAAAGTGATGATGTAATATATTAGGAGGGAGGTCAGGTGCCCTGGGCCTCATCTTAGCATTTCAGGTGATAGGGGAGCCCAGGGCTGGAGAAACCTGGGGCTTAGTCCCAGAGAGTGGGGGCAATGTAGCCTCCACTCTCTCTACTTGCGGCTTTCCCACTCAGTGCCTTAGTGGGGGAAGCATTTCCCCCCTCTCCCATTCCCTTCATCCACCCCTGCCCCCGCCTCGGGTGTAAGTGACAGGAAGAAATAATAATAATTTAAGATTCATACTTGTGTCCACTTTTGGTTCCTTTATTTTGGGGGTGGGTGGGAGGGGTCAGGAGGTTCTGAGGCTGGGCAGGGAGCTGCTTTGGGGGCAGTGAATTTCCGAAGTAGTTCCTGGGGCTCAGGGGGCAAGGGAAGACCTGCAGACTGATGAGCTGGGAGATGCTGCGGTAGCATCCTTTAGGGCGCCTTCCCTTGGTCCTCGTCACTGGGAGGAGAGGAGGGCTCAGTAAGCTCAAAACCACTGGTGGGCAACCTTAACCATCATCCCTGCTCAACTTAGCTGCTGCCGTCCCGCCCATCTACTTTTGGCGGTGGTGGTGGTCTGTTTCAGGGTTTTGTTTGTTTGTTTGTTTCTTTGGTTTTTCAAGACAGGTTTCTGTGTAGCCCTGGCTGTCCTGGAACTCACTCTGTAGACCAGGCTGGTCTTGAACTCACAGACCTGCGTCTGCCTCCCAAGTGCTGTCACTAAAGGCGTGTGCCACCACACTTGCTGCTTTGCCAGCGCTAGTCACAGTTAATGAGGACGTAGCCACTAGAACACCCTCCCCAACCCAGCCAGGGTGTCAGCAACCCATCCTCTTCAAAGGCCATCACCTCAGTTACTGAAGATGCCTCTATTTTCTTCCCAAACCGTCCTCTCTCCAACCCATCCAGAAAAAAAAAAAAAAAAAAATGTCTTCAACCTTCAAACTCATGGCTACCATATTTACAAGAGAAATCCATGTAATAAGCCTTCAGGAAGGCAAGACAGGATAATCCCTACACATTTCAGGCCAATCTGGCCTACAATGCTGAGACCCTGTCACCAAAGACAAAAAAAAAAAAACACCTCTGACCAGGAACATGGAACAGTCATCATCAAGGTTTCACTATCCCCTGCCTTAACTGCCCGGAAATCCCTCAGCCTCCCTGCCCAGCTTCTCGGCACACTCCTCCCCACAACAGACATGGCAGCCTCCACCGCCCACTCTTTGGAAACTATGCCACTTCCAGCCACCTCGCTGCTCACTCAGCAGGTGTCCTTGCCTCCTACTCCCTAGAGAAAAGTGAGGCTGGAGCAAGCTGGACTCTTCAGAAAACTCCATTCTTCAGGCTCAGAGCAGCCCACTCTCTAACACTACCTCGGCCACATTCACCTGTCTCTTAACACCCTCGTTCCTTGGGCACCCTGGTCCAGAGCTAAGGATGGAACCCAAGACCTTGTGCATGCTAAACAGTGCTCTACCACTACACTACATCCCTAGGCCTCAATGTTCTCTTTTCCATGTCCTAAATGTGCGAGGATGCAGAAACGTCCTTTGGTACTGTGTCCGTTGTGTGTAAAGCCAATTCTTTATCATGGAGCTTCCCTTCCTAGAGCCAAGCATGGTGGTACATACCTTTCCTTCTATGAAGACTGAGGTAGAAGGGTTACAAGTTCAAGGGCAGCCTAGACCGTATAGTGAAATCATTCTAAAAATAAATAAAGCTGGAGGGACACACACCTTTAATCTCACTGGATTAAATCTCACACACTCCTGGAGGCAGAGGCAGGCAGATCTCCGAATTCAAGGCCAGCCTGGTACATACAACAAATGCCAGCTCGGCCAGGAGCTACACAGTGAGGCCCTGTCTCAGCAATAAATAAGTAAACAAGCCCTCTATTTTTAATCGCAAAACTTATATTAAAGGGATCCTAAACCATCTCCCTCATACAGAAGCCACACACTCCATTTCTGAGCTGTCTTTGCCATTTGCTTCGTGATCTGGTTTTAGCCATCCCGATGCCATGAAAAATGTTCCTGCAAACCACACCAGTGGTCTCTCAACTATGGAGTGACTGTTGGTCCCCAGCCTGTGGCTCACATCTGGCCTGCCATGGACTAGCTCTCCTTAAGCCTCTCCCCTCAGGGCTGCAGTTGAGCTCTCTAGGGTTCTGTCTCTGTCTCCCTCTCTCTTGCCAGGGAAGGGGATGATCAAACCCATTTTCTAAAGAGATAATACCTCCAGTCCAGAGCCCTGCTGGACATCTTGGCACCTGTTCCCTGGGCGGCTCTAGCTGGGTGCCCCTACAGACATCTAGTCTCAAATGGGCAGTTTCCTGTTTCCCCTCTGCCTGAAGCCTACGTGGAGACCCAACAGCTCAGCACCTCGTTTTCAACGGCTGAAACAGCCTCCTGCCCGGCCCTTCTGCCTCAGCTTATTAGGGTAGTTTTCACAATAGATTCTCTCCTGCTCTTCCCCTCTCCATCTCTCCCTCCCCTTTACTTTAAAACTTCATATGTTTTTATGCATTGTGTGTTCACCTGTGTCTCTACCATGTGTGTGGGTGCCTGTCCAGAGGATACATCTGATCACCTGGAGCTGGAGTTACAGGTGGTTATGAGTCTCCCATCTCCAACATGGATGCTGGATATTGAACTCAGGTCCTTTGGAAGAGAATAGGAAGTGTTCCTAACCACAAAGTCATCTCCAGTCATATATATATATGTATGTATATATATATATACATATATATATGTATGTATATATATATACATATATATATATGTATATATGTTTTGCTTGTTTGAATGTATGAGTACCGCATGCATGTCTGGTGGCCAGAGACCAGAAGAAGATGTTGGATCTCTTGAAACTGGAATTATAGATAGCTGTTAGCTGCTATGTGGGTGCTGGGAACTGAACCTGAGTCCTCTGAAAGAACAGCATATGTTCTTTTTTTTTTTTTTTTTTTTTTTTTTCCCGAGACAAGGTTTCTCTGTGTAGCCCTGGCTGTCCTGGAACTCACTCTGTAGAGCAGGCTGGCCTTGAACATCTCCCAAGTTCTGGGATTAAAGGCTTGCACCACCAGTGCCCCGGCTTGCACGTGTTCCTAACCTCAAAGCTGTCTGTCTAGCCTTACTCCTGCCTTTTGTCTCTCTGGTCTTGCCAAAATGACCTAGTTAGCAGGGAACTCGCTCTGGCCTCAAGCGTGTTTGTTGTTTGTTTGTTAAGACAGGGTCTCACTATGAGTCCTGACTGGCCTCAAACTCAATACGCAGCTCAAACTTGCCTCACTCCCCCCCACTCCCCCCATCTTTGAAGACCACAGGGTTTGTGAACCACCCAGGTAATCCAAGCCCTAGGGAAGGGAGTTCAAGGCCAACCTTGGCTACATAGAAAAATCCTATTTCAACAAACAAGAAATAAACAAAAAGAACTCAAGCTATGGTGTATGTGTGTGTATGTGTGTGTGTGTGTGTGTGTGTGTGTGTGTGTGAGAGAGAGAGAGAGAGAGAGAGAGAGAGAGAGAGAGAGAGAATGGCCTGGTGATAAGAGTGAACACCTTTAATCCCAGCATTCCCAGAGAATGGAATTCCAGGCAAACCAGGGCTCCATGGTGAGACCCTGTCTCAAAGGGAAAAAAAAAGCCATACCTTGCGTGTGCAAGGCTCTGGGTTAGACCCCTAACACCACAAAGGAGAAGGACGAGGAGGAAAAAGGAAGAGGGGAGTGAGGAGGGAACGAGAAGCAGGCCCGGTGGCATTATCTGTCATCCCAGCACTCAAACAGGAAGCACTACAAAACACGAGGCCAAGGCCAGGAGTGATCCTGCACGCCTTTGATCCCAGCAGAGGCAGGTGCAGCTCTGTGAGTTTGAGGCCAGCCTGGTCTACGGAGTTCAAGGACAGTAAGGACTACACCTTGAGACAAACAAAAACAGATGAATGTGAATGCATCCCTTAATCACCTAAGGTCTTCAAATGGCCTGTGAAGGAAGCTTCCCTCTGTTTCCCCACACTAACACTCTCTGAGGTCCACACCCAAACACGAAGACACACACACACACACACACACACACACACACACACACACACACACACACACACACACCTTCGGGCTTTATTTACCCTCCTGAATGTTTTACATTCTCCAAACTCACATAGGCCACAGCTTCCTCACCTCCCTTAACATGTGTCTAACAAACCACCAGGTCACCCCCAAACCCCAGCTTACTTTTCTCCTTTTCTGTGAAGTTTTGGTATGGTTTTTTCGCCCCCCTCAAGACAGGGTTTCTTTTTTTTTTTTTTTTTTTTTTTTTTTGGTTTTTTCGAGACAGGTTTCTCTGTGTAGCTTTGCGCCTTTCCTGGAACTCGCTTTGGAGACCAGGCTGGCCTTGAATTCACAGAGATCCGCCTGCCTCTGCCTTCCGAGTGCTGGGATTAAAGGCGTGCGCCACCACCGCCCGGCAAGACAGGGTTTCTAGCCCTGTCTGTCCTGAAACTCTGTAGCCCAGGCTGGCCTCTAACTCACAGAGATCTGCCTGCTTCTGCCTCCCGAGTGCTGGGACTAAAGGCGTGCGCCACCATGCCCGACTCTGTGAAGTGTGTTTTAATATCTTCCCTTCGCAGTAGTGTGACTCCTCTGTCAGGAGCTCCACACAGGACGGCTGTCTTGTGCCACCACTCCCCCAACACACACATTGCAAGCGACTGCGGGCTGGGGAGCAGGCACTCAGCAAACCTCAGTCTCCTCTGCCTCTAGTCCCTGCAGAGGGGCAGGCACTCAGCGAGCCTGTGCAGATGGGACAGAACATGCTCCCAGTCCCCAGGTGCCATCTCCACTTGCTTCCCGCTCACCTGGTCTCTGAGTGGGACTCCTCTGAGAGGCTCTTGCCCAGTGCTTCCTGGAGCTGTTGTCGAAGTTTCAGCACCTGCTCGGGAGTCCTTCTGCGAGCTGCAGCCAGCCAGAGCTGAGGGCCCTCCTCGTCACTGGAGTCCCTGGAGAAGGCTACCGTCTCAGTGACCCACAGCTAGCCTGGGAGAAGGAGCATCGTTCCCACTGCCCCCCATGACTGCAGCCTTCCCCACCACTGAAAGACTCACAGCTCCAGATCCAGATGGCCCTGCTTGGAGAGAGGAGATGCACACACAGAACAGGTGTTGTCCAGGAGACGGAAGCAGGTAGGGCAGTAGAGACCTGGAGGAGAGCAGGAGGGCAAGGAGGCTTGAGCCAACCCGTCACCTGTGATCCCTAGTGTTTGGCCTTGCCTCTCCACCCCACCCCTGGAGGAAGGACCAGCCTTGTCAAGGATGCACACTAAGGAACTGCTGCAGTACCTCCCTTGCACTCAGAGGAATGGAGGAGATTCTGGGGAAGGGAGCTATGTAAATGAGAAGATGCATCATAATGGAACGGACATATAAAGGTAGGGAGAATTCCAGAAAGGAAGAGCCATGGTTGACTGTCATGGGCAAACACCGTGAGTCCTTCAGGAAGAGGGGCACTCACCTTTGCAGCCTGGGGTACTGCAGGACACAAAGTTCTCCTCCATGTCCCCTTGGCCCTCAGACTGCCCACAGCCCAGGCAGTAGTACTGATGTAGCAAAAATTGACTGAGCAAAGGATGTAGGCAACGACACCTTAGAAGGAAGGTCCGCAATGTCAAGCTCAGGAACCCCAACCTTGCACATCCAGACCAACCTGCAGATCTGAGGGAGACCTCCGGGTGCCCTGGCCTGTCTTTTGGACTGTAGCAACTGTTCTCCATTGCCCCACTCTCCTTCCTCTCCCACTCCAGGAATCTTTAGTGGGGCTAGAGAGATGGCTCAGTGGTTAAAATCACTTGTTGCTCTTGTAGAGGACCCGGGTTTGGTCCCCAGCACCTACATGATGACTCAAATCATCCATAACTCCAGGCCCAGAGGATCCAATATTTTCTTCGATCTCCACGGACACCAGGCATGCACTTGGTATACATATGTACATATATACATATATATACATGCAGGCAAAACACTCATACGCATAAATACATCTTCTTTAAAAACTTTATGCTTGGCCAGGCAGCGGTGACACACACACCTTTAATCCCAGCTCTTGGGAGGCAGAGCCAGGCGGATCTCTATGAGTTTGAGGCCAGCCTGGTCTACAGAGTGAGATCCAGGATAGGCACCAAAACTACACAGAGAAACCCTGTCTCAAAAAACCAAAACCAAGCCGGGCGGTGGTGGCGCACGCCTTTAATCCCAGCACTTGGGAGGCAGAGGCAGGTGGATCTTTGTGAGTTCGAGGCCAGCCTGGTCTAGAGAGCGAGATCCAGGAAAGGCGCAAAGCTGCACAGAGAAACCCTGTCTCAAAAAACCAAAAAAAAAAAAAAAAAAAAAATGCTATAAAAAACCAAAACCAAAACAAAACAAAAAATTGTATCCTTGGAGCTGCAAAGACGGCTCAGCAGTTAAGAGCACTGGCTGCTCTTTCAGAGGACCCGGGTTCAATTCCTAGGAACCACATAGCAGCTCACAACATCTATGACTCTAGTCCAAAGGGATCTGATGCTGTCTTCTAGTCTGTGTGGGCACTGCATGCACATGGTGCATGGATGTGCGTGCAGGTGGAGAACACCCATACACATAAAATAAAAACAAACAAAACATTTTTTAAACGTAAAATTCTTTTTTTTTTTTTTTTTCGAGACAGGGTTTCTCTGTGCAGCTTTGCGCCTTTCCTGGTACTCGCTTTGGAGACCAGGCTGGCCTCGAACTCACAGAGATCCGCCTGCCTCTGCCTCCCGAGTGCTGGGATTAAAGGCGTGCGCCACCACCACCCGGCCTAAACGTAAAATTCTTAGCCAGACATGGTGGTGTGTGCCTTTACTCCCAGCCCTCTGGAGGCAGAGGCAGGTGGATCTCTGTGATTTCGAGGCCATCCTGGTCTATAAAGTGAGTTCCAGGACAGTCAGGGCTGTTATACAGAGAAACCCTGTCTTGAAAAAAACCAAAATAATAATAGTCATAATAATAATAAATAAAATTCTTGTCCTTAATTCTTCCTCCAGGACATGAAAGGTATGAGTTGGATACCCTCTTCAACCAACTCCTTGTCACTTGGAAAGCACAGAGATGCATTCTGACCCCTGGCTCTTTTTCTGTCGGTTGGTTGTCCCCACATCCAAATCAGGAAGCACTAGACGCACCTGAAGGCTAGCACCTGGAGGATGCTCATGTGGCCCTGGTCAGCTGCCCGCCGCATCACAGCTCGGTGCACCGCAGCCACCACGTTGGTTCGACGACTCAGAAGCGTGTTGTAGAGGTAGGAGATCCTTTCCTGGTGGGGCGGAACCCCGGATGGGAACAAGTAGTCCTGGTCCATCTGCCTTGGCACGCCCCCTTGCACCCAGCCCCACTCCTTGCCTCTCTTTTCCTTCTGACTCCTGTGAATTCCTCAAGGCTTAGTTCAAAAGACCATTTCTCCAGGAACCCTTCAGGACCTCCCTAAGCAAAGTAAGCCGTTCCTCCTCTGGCTTTCCATCTCTCTTTATCAATCCCCTAGTAAAACCGCTTTCTTTTCTTTCTTTTTTTTTTTTTAATGATAATGTTTCATTAAAAGCCTTTCTTCCGCCGGGTGGTTGTGGTGCTCGCCTTTAATCCCAGCACTTGGGAGGCAGAGCCAGGCGGATCTCTGTGAGTTCGAGGCCAGTCTGGTCTACAGAGTGAGATCCAGGTCAGGCACCAAAACTACACAGAGAAACCCTGTCTCAAAAAAAAAAAAGCCTTTCTTCCTGGGGCAGGAGAGATGGCTCAGCAGTTAAGAGTGTGTATTACTCTTCTAGAGGACCCCAGTTCGATTCCCAGCACCCACATCAGGCAGCTCACAACTGGTTGTAACTCTAGTTCTAGGGGATCCAACACCTCTGGCCTCTGTGGGCACCTACAAACACATGGAGTATACTCACACAGAGAAAAGAATATGCACGTGATTAAAAATGTAAAAAGTAAAAGAAGTTCATCTACTCGAAATGCCTGTCAGCCTAACTAGACTGATTCATCCTGCCTCCTTGGAGTCCCTGCATCGCAGCTGTCACATAGGACACCTCAGTATGTCACAGGGCCCTACCACTGCGGTTTCAGCAAAGCCTTGGAAGTAAGATGCGCCTCAGGAGGCCCTGGCCAGAAGGACACCGTTCCTCCTGATTCCACCTGGGGGCTAGGTCTTGGCTCCGGGCTCCAGTAGAGGGGTAGGGATGGGGGCTGCCAAGGACTTCAGCATCCTCAAAGCCGAGACAGACAGCCAACAGCCTAGCATCAGGGCCAGAGCCGAGAGCTGCTGGCTCTGGAGCCCCTCACCTGTTCCCTGAACGGGTAATAGGAGGCACAGATGACGCGCCGCAGCCTGCTGACGTAGCTGCCGAACAGAGTGACGAAGAAGCACAGGCCGTACATGGTACCTGGGAACACAGTGCACAGTGAGCACCACCCGCCGCCCAAGGCACCGGCCACACCTGGGAACACAGTGCACAATGAGCACTGCTCACTGGCCACACCTGGGAACACAGCGCACAGTGAGCACTGCTCACTGGCCGCACTCCTGGGAACACAGCGCACAGTGAGCACTGCCCACTGGCCACATTGTTGGGAACACAGCACACAGTGAGCACCGCCTGCTGCCCAAGGCACTGGCCACACTCCTGGTCCACGTGCTCCCTCACCCCGGTCTTCACTCTTAGGTAAGATGAATACCTATAAGGATGTAACCATTGGCGTCCGGTTCTGAGGGATGCAGGAGGCAGCGCTGGGACAGTATACTGATGTTGCCTTGTTGCAGGACATCAAAAGCGGACACCAGGTCGCGGTAAATACTCCCCGAATAGCCAGTCCCCTCCACCGTTATGGATACTAGCACAGGACCTAGCACAGAGACGCTGGGAGGGACACTCACGCAGTGGCCTGGTCCCCACCACCTCCCGTGTAGGCCAAGGGTAGGAGCCACACCCTCACCCAGGACCTTTGGTGCTCAGGTATCTCTCAAGGTACACTGAGGCCCGGCCTCTGTCCTAACACCACGATCCGGCTCTCTGGCACTGCCATAAACTTCATGACTGTTCCAGAAGCATTTAATATTGCCTGAAAGCTGGTCATTTTTTTCCTACAGGGTCTCACTATGCAGCCTAGTCACCCAATCCTCCTGCCTCAGTCTCCTACGTGCTGGGTTACAGGTGAGTGCCACCACTACCCGGTTTATTATTGTACTTTATGTTTGCCTTGAGTTTCGATTTTTCTTTTCATTTCCATTTTTTTTTTTGTTTTTGTTTTTGTTTTTTTCGAGACAAGCTTTCTCTGTGTAGTTTTGGAGCCTGGCCTGGATCTCACTCTGTAGACCAGGCTGGCCTCAAACTCACAGAGATCCGCCTGGCTCTGCCTCCCGCCTGGCTCTGCCTCCCGAGTGCTGGGATTAAAGGCGTGCGCCACCACCGCCCGGCCATTTCTTTATTACTAGTGTCCACTTGTGTGTATGTGTGGTCGGGGAAGCACATGTGTGGGGGTCAGAGGACAACTTGGTGGAGTCAGTTCTCTCCTTCCACATTTTCAAGCATTTTAAGGATTTAACTCAGGTCAAACCTCCATGACAAGTGACAAGGGCTTCCTTTACGCACTGAGCTGGCCTGTCCGTTTGTCTGTCTGTCTGTCTGTTTGTTGGTTTCTCTTCTGTTCTTTGTGTCCTCATATGCAAATAACAAACTCAGGCTAATTGCGTTCCTTGGCCTGTGACACAGTCTCAGTCACGGGTCAAGGAGAGTCTACGCAAAGCTAGTCTCCCTTCTTACAGTGATCCGGAGAGCAGCCATTGCTCCACTGTTCAGATGAGCAAGAGGTGAAGCAATTTGTTCTTGGTGTGTGTGCTGGGGGCTGAACCTGGGCCACTGTGCGTGGGGCTCTGTCCCCAGCTCCCAAGCAACTTACTGAAAATCACCTCCTGACAAAGGACAGGGCTGGGATTTGAACCCAGCCAGTTTGGCTCGCGGCTCGTGCCTTAGCTATGCTGTTACCCTGTGTCCTTGACCCAGACAGAAGGCAGTGGCGGGAGAGTGAAAGGCAGAGGCAGGAAGCTATCCAGAGAGTCCCCCGGGAGAAGCCCCAGGGAGGGGGACGATGCACGGGGTGGGTGGGCACAGGAGGGGTGGACACTCACTGCGGGCTACAATCTCGCCCTGGAGGTGGTACCGGGCCAGGTCAAGTACCCAGAAGACAGCGTAGTCCAGAAAGACCAGGAGGAACACAAGGAGGAGGTGACGGGCGAGGTCAAACGTCCCCAACATGTAAAAAATCTTCTCCCATCGGGTCAGGAAGATGGAGCCTGAAGGAGTAGGTGGTGATCAGGAGTGTGTTCCCCAATTCTCCTGCCCATAGATCTCAACTCTTGGGGAGATGCCCATATCAAGTTCAGCTTAATTGCTTACCCAGAGGACAAAAAAGAAAAGAGACTGTGAGGAGCATGGCAAGGGTAGGAGCACTCTTCAGGGCGAGGGGCTTGATGGAAAAGCCTTGCAGCTCTCCCTGGAACCAGTGTTCCGTCCCCGACCCTGCTTGACTCCTACCTCCTAGGCAGCCTTCCTTTCCCTATTAGCACATCCACCCCCCTGCCTTCCCAACCTCGCATCCCTTGATCCAGGGTGCTCTCCTTGTCTCCCTCTCAGCCTGAAGTCCTCTCTCTTCCCTCTGGTCCCTATGCTCTAAAACAGGGTCAGGGATACGGGCTGAGGAAGGCTTTGCTGCCCCAGAGCCCCTTTTCCACCCTCCGCACCCTGACCTGGTTGGATGTAGCGTCTGGCCTCGTGAGAGCTGAGCGGCAGCACTGTGGGCAGCCCTGCCTCGGCGCGGACTGCCTCCATGTGCAAGAAGCGGCTGGTGATATAGATGTTGTCAAAATTGTCCCAGTTCAGGTAACAGTACCGATACCACAGGGCTCTGAGGAGGAGGGGCGCATATGAGACTCCTCGGCTCTCTTTACCAGACCCCCAGGCACCCCAGGCAGTGCTGCCCCACCAACTCCCCCCACCCCCAAGATTCCATAGATGGACAGCCCTGCAGCAGCCCATCTATCCCACAGGCCCTAGTACTAGCCAGCCCCTCACTGGAGGTAGAGAAGTGTAAAGAGGAGAGGCAGGGTGTAGCCCATCAGAGCCAGGACCTCCCTGACACTGTACAGCTTCATGCTGACGGCCTCATGAAGGTCCAAAGCCACCTGGGACAGGCTCCGAGAGGCATTGAGGTCCACAGAGAAGTAGTGCGTGGCTGTCATGTTGAACTCAAATTCACGACGCACCTGGTTAAGCAGCTTCAACACAGCTGGGACCGGCGGGGCCAGAGGAGACAGGAGCCAGGATAGTTAGGAGGGTAGAGCTGAATGGGGTGGGGGGCTGATGGGGTGGGGGGCTGCTGGGGTGGGGGCTGCCCGGCCCAGGAATTGTACAACTCACAAACCAGCCAGAGCTCCCAGGGCCCAGATCTAGACTAGGAAACAGTGACATCTTCCTGACACACAGCACTAGACTTGGCCTAGGGCTTATGCTCCCTCACGGATGAGGAGTGAGCGTGACCTGCGCTCTGGTGGGAGGCTCTGTTCCTCCCAGCTTGCGCGCATGACCTATGCTCAGGCAGGAGGCCCTGTTCCTCCCAGATTCTGCTCTGAAGCCGGGCTTTGATGAAGCACCTCCCCCGCTCCCCGAGCCTCAGTGTCTCAATCAGCTCAGCTTAGACATTCGTCTGGGTAACCCCGCACAGTCCTTCCCGCTCTTGCGTTCTTGCATATGGACCAGGAGACTTCAGCTGCCCATAGTAAGAGCAGGAGAACACCGGTAGCGGGGGCTGAAGGGTCACTCACGGGTGCTGATGGTCTTTCGCAGGAAGACTTGGATGTACGTGGGGATGACGCAGAACATCTGGACCACTGAGAGTCAGGGAGCTCAGCGTGAGGACGGGGAGCAGAGGTGCGGCCTGCCTGCCCCCCTCTGGAGCCTTCCTCTCACGGGGCTGTCTAGACTTTCCACCTTTCCCATTGGTCTCTACATTTGCTGGCCGTTTTTAGCCTTTCTCCACCATGCTTTCCTGAACACCAGGCTTACTCACAGAACCCAGCATCCTTATGGGCTCCATATTCAATGCCCCCGGTGTGATCCCGTACCCACCTTTCTAACAGATCCTGCACTCTCCCACCCCGTTCCAGCCCCATGTTCGTGCCCTCCTGGCAGGGGGGGCCCTGGCTCTCTCACAGCTGGCAAGTCCACAGAGCACCAACTTGAAGGGCATGACCACGAAACACAGGTGATAGACTCGAGGCATGATCTCCATACAGTTGTCCTTGGCATCGTCGAATAACCGGGCGCATTTCGTGTACGGGTTGCCCAGCTCCGAGTTGCACACATCGCCGATGTGAAGGAGCCAGTACCACACGTTCCGCAGGGCCCTGGCTGGGGACAGCTGTTCAGTCAGTGCTCTGGGCAGGAGTCCCCCAGGCCTTTTCAATGACTTGGGTAACACCAGCCCACCTCCTCACGCCGGAACTGGTCAGTGGTCAGACATGCTGCGTGGAGTGAGACCTGAGCAGGCCTGGAGAGGGACTGGGAGAAGGAGACTTGGGGGCATTTTGACCCCCCCCAACCAGACATGTAACACACCTACCTACATGCTTCACACCATCCATGATGGACCGGAAGAACCTGCGTACCCGGTCAGCCACCACTTTGGCCCTCTGGGCGATAGCTTTAATCTTGGTCAGAGCACCTGAGGGACAAAGGGCAGCCTTGTGGTGGGCCTCTTTGTCCAGGAGCTGATTCTCACCATTTCCTGCAGGGAGGGAGTACCAGGCGGCTCCCAGAAGAGGAGGGAGCCTGGGTGCTGGGGTGTGAGAATAATCAGGTGAAGAAGAGGCTGAGAGCAAGGGGAAGAAGATTGAGCTGGACAGGAAAGTGGCTACCCAGGCCCAGCCACTCAGGTTCGGACACGGTTCCAACAGAGAGGAATTAGACCTTACAGGATGGGAGTCAGTGGTAGGCTGGGGACCTTACTGACAAGGGGCTGCTTGGCTCGCTCCAGCACTTCAGCAGTCTGGTTCAGGGCCAGCTCTGCCCCACAGGCCACAGCCTCGCTGGCCCGGGTGAAGTTACGCAGGGTATTGGCACAGGGCCCTTGCAGCACAAGCCCAAAGGCAGCCACCAACAGGAGCATCCGGCCCTGCCCTAGGGAGACCGCAGCTCAATCACAGCCCCGACCCCAGCCCCAAGGCGGCAGCAGGTACTCCTTCATGTTAGCTGTTAGAATACTTCCCCACCCTCCACCCTCAGCCAACCCAGCCCAGCCCAGCCCAGCCCAGCCCAGCCTAGTCCAGCCCAGCCCTGCTCCCGAGGTGCCAGGCTTACTGGAGAAGGCCTGGGGAAGCAGCAGGAGGACACTGACGCGGACCTGGCGGGAGAAGCCCATGCCTAGGCTAAGAAAGGCAGCCAAAGTGACAGTGACCACCAGGCAGCCAAAGGGGCTGTGTCCCTCCACCAGAAGTTCCAGAAGCCCATAGGCCGTGGCCAAGGACAAACCCAGAACAAAGCCACCCATGCTTCGGACTATAGCCCGTGCCATGCTGGGCCCCTCCTCCCCGGAGGGCCGCTCTATAACATCGATTTTGGACATGGCCGCTGGGACCAAATGCCGGGGTGTCTCCAGAAGAGGCCACCCGGATTCTATAGATCCGGAATCCTTCGTCCGATTCTAAGGTTCCGCCAGGCTTATCCCACAGTGTGTCTCAGAACCTGTGACCCAGTTCTGCCGGCTCAGGGCTGGTGAGCTGAAAGACGCAGAGCACAGTCTTGGGCTGCAAGTGAAGCAAAGGACACAGGCAACACTTTCGTTCTCTCGTCAGAATCTCACAGCCCGGGAACCTCCGGACAGACGTCTAGGATGAAAAGGGCTTCTGAGAATGGACGGAGGGACACCACACAGCATCAGAACAGAGCAGGAAAGCCACAAAGGAAACCACCCCACACGAGTGAGACAGCCAGCTCTAGACTGCCCCTGCCCAGCATCCCGCAGACTTCTCTTGTCCTCTCTCCATTTCGGGGTCCTCCAGCCTCTATCCCTCCTGCCCACCCCACAGCCCAGTCTTTTTCCTCCACTCCTGTCCTCCTCTTCGGGATCCCCTGTCTCTTCTAGTGAACACCAAGTCCCCGCCACCACGTTCTCCAGCATCTGATCCTCTTAAAATCTCAACCCTTAGCCAGGCAGTATGCCACATGCCTTTAACCCCAGCACTCAGGAGGCAGAGGCGGGTGGATCTCTGAGTTCGAGGCCAGCCTGGTCTACAGAGTGAGTTCCAGGACAGCCAGAGCTACACAGAGAAACCCTGTCTCGAAAACCCCTCCTCCCCCCCAAAAAAAAATCTCAAACCTTGGGGCTGGAGAGATGGTTCAGTGGTTAAGAGCACTTACTCCTCTCCCAGAGGACCTGAATCCAACAGCCACATCAGGCAGCTTACCACCGCCTGTGACTGTAGCCCCAGGGGATCCACCTCCCTCTGAGCACCTGCACACACACGGTGCACATAAACTCAGTCAGGCACACACATACGCATGAATAAGAGTCAAGTCTTTCTAACCTTAATGAACGTCATTCAGCCAGAAGAAGAGGCTATGAGCTGTCTGTCCCCTTTTCAGCCATACAGAGGCTCCTACGCTGGGCTCTTCCGGTGTCCTGGAGCCGGTTCCTATGGCGCCAGCCAGGGGAGTTCCCTGCCACTGCTTTCCTGCTGGGAGCAGGCACTGGTGGGCTCCTGGCCATAGGCAAGTGTGGGGGCAGAAGGGCAGGGCTGAGGCAGGGCTGGGGCAGGGTTGAGGCAGGGCTGGGGCTGTCAGTTAACTTTTGACTTCACCCTGTTCCTTCAGGTCTCTTTCAGCTCCTGGTGAATCCCATGAACATCTATGAGGAGCAGAAGATGGTGGCGTTGTATAGCCTGGCAAGTTAGTCGTGGGTAAAGGCCGGCCATTAGGGGCCTGGAGGAAACTGGAGCTTGCCCCTTATGTGCCCCTTCAGCCTCCTCACACACTTTAGAAAAGAGAGAAGGGAGGGCTCAGAGGAGAGAGCATCCCAAAGTGAGAGGGCCAACCCTGCCTTTAATAAGGCTTGCCTATCAGTGAGAGAGTCCCACTGCCCACACACCACAGGCCAAACCCTCCACCTTATAGCCTGCTCTGTTGACCACTCCGGCACACTTCCTACTCTTTGAGTACGCAGTTCCTTCCTTCCTTCCTTCCTTCCTTCCTTCCTTCCTTCCTTCCTTCCTTCCTTCCTTCCTTCCTTAGGATTCAGAAGTATACAAAGTTGACAAGCACCAGCCTTTTTGGAGATTATAGTTTAAAAAAAAAAAAAAAAAAAAAAAAAAAAGAGCCAGGCACAGCTGGGTGCGGTGGCTCACACCCACAATCCCAGAACTCATAAGACTGAGGCAGGAGGATTGCCTTAATTCAAGATCAGCCTGGCCTACCCAGTATGTTCCAGGATAGTCTGGATTGCTAGAGTAATGTTCTGCCTCAAAAACTAGAAACTGACCAACCTGCCAGTGTGAGACAGAAGCAAAGTAAGAAATCAAAGTACGCTGTTCAGGGGAAGGAAGGGGCCGGGCGCGACCCTAGCCCTGCCGGGGAAGACTCCTGGAGGTGATGTTCCAATGGAGACATTCGCTTTGGGAGGTGTTGGGCCACAGGAAAGGGACGGCTGAGAAGGGCTGTGGAAGTGGCTTCATCTTAGAGACAGTTTATCACCCTACAGAAAAAGTGGATGAAAGAGGAGTGTGGCAGCTCACGCCTGGAGTTCCAGGACAGCCTGGACTTTGTCTCAAAAAACTAGACAAAAGAAAAAGACACAAACAAGACAAAAAGAAAGAGAGAACGAAAAAAGAAAAAGAAAGAGTAGCTTTATAGTTGGAGAAATCTCATAGTTCCAGAGTTGCCAGCCCGGAGGCATGGGTTTATAATCCCAGCACTTGGAAGGCTGAGGCAGGAGGATTGTATATTTGAGGCCAACCTGGACTATATATTAAGACTTGTATCTCAAAGGGCTGGAGGGTTGGTTCAGGAGTTAAGAGCACTTGATGATCTTGCAGAGGACCTGGGTTCGATTCCCAGCACTCACAGGGCAGCTCACAATCACCTGAAACTCAACTTCCAGGGCATCTGACATGTTCTTCGAACCTCCAAAGACACTAGACACACACATGGTATACATACATGCAAGGAAAACTTAATTTTTGTTGTTTGTTTATTTTTCTGAGATAAGGTTTCTCTTTGAACCCTGGCCGTCCTGGAACTTGCTCTGTAGACCAGGCTGGCCTCGAACTCAGATCCACAGCCTCCCCAGTGCTGGGATTAAAGGCGTGCGCCATCACTGGCTGGCTGCCTAGAGGTTTTTCTGTTACAAAACCCCCGCCATAACTCCAGGCATCACATCTCAATGCAGTAATCTCAAAAACTAGAGAAGGAACATCTCTTCCTCCTGCCCCTTGTTCAGGAACCAGGAAAACTTGCCAGGAGGCTTTTCACATTTCTTTGGTCAGTACAGCAACGGATGTCCTTCTCGAACCCTGTCCCAGCCCAGGGCAATGGAATTAGCGTCACCAGCTTATTGAACACATAAACTGGAGTCTTTGACCATAAGGCTAAGACCACAGTAAACTGTCTTCCTTCTGACCGCTGGGTTCACATATGTTCCAGAGATGACCTTTCACTCAGACATGGAGGAAGCCCCAGGCGTGATGACTAGTTAGGGCTTATTTTGAGGAGTTAAAGGGTCCTGTCTACTCCACATCTGGACTTCAGGCTCCCATGCTTCTTAAATGTCAGCTCTCCTTGCTGCTCCAGCCCACCCCCACCTCAGTCTGCCCCTTGGCCCTGGGTCCCAGAGTGAGAAGGAAGGGCTCTGCTTCCCTTTCTCCTGCCTCATTTTAAAGCATTCTCTGACAGTCTCATATATGCATAGAATGAATTTCAGTCAGTGAACCCCTTCGCCTTCCCTGCCCCCCAGCCCTCTCCTACTGAAACCTTTCTTCCCCAGAAGCCCCCCTCCTCCTCCTCCCGTGGCCTCCTTTTGTATGTGACCGACTGTGGCTAATTAGAATGGCACGGGTAGGAAGTTATTAACGGGAGCTGGGGCAACTTTTCAGTAGCTATACCACCTCCTCCCCCAGCCCCCACTCCTCCCGCCACACCACCCCACACCCTCCTCCACCTCCACCTCGACAAGGCCTCAGGTAGCCCAGGCTAGGGTTGCACTCCTCCTGATCCTCTGTCACCCTTTCTCAAGGGCTGGGTGACAGGTGTGTGCCACCATACCTGGCCTCCTTTCTGCTTCTTCTGATGTCCAAAAAGAGAGACGAAGAATCAGAAGGAAAGGTACAAAATCTTTATTTATTTTATGACGGTGAGGGGGACAAAGTCTTTAGTCATCCATGCTGTTATAACTCTCCTCCGGTGCCCTCAAGGTGGCAAGCTCATTGACAGGCTCTGGGGTTCCTCGTGGTGTGAACTTTGGCAGGTTCTTTTGGCCAGACTCACATGGAGCCAACCACAGACAGGCTTTTCCCTTGAGATGTGCATCCACCCCGACCCCCCCCCCCTCCCCCGGCAGACTGCCCCTGTGGATGGAGATCTCCAGGCCTGCTGCCTTGAGGAATTGCTATGGAATGTGTAGTTACCCTCCCCCACTGCCTAGAGAAAAGAAGTTCCACACTCTGGGATCTGCAGAGAGCAGGGCCTGGAGCAGCTGGGCAGCCGCTACAGTTCCGCAGGAGCCCAGCCCAGGAGGGACCAGGCAGGGTCCCTTCCTGTGATAGTCCCTAGCGGGTCTGAGCTGCCTACACTAAATGCTACCTTTCACTTCCAGAACATTAACATTTCCAGTTTGTTCTTATTGATGGACGGATTGCTCTTGCAGCTCTGCCTGTCCTAGAACTAGCTATGTAGACCAGAGTGGCCATAACTCACAGAGATCTGCCTGACTCCCAAGTTCTGGTGTTCAAGGCCTGCACCGCCATACCCAGCCCCCCCCTCTCCCTTTATTTTTATTTATTTATTTATTTTGGACAGGGTCTCATGTATCCCAGACTGGCCTCAAACTTGATATGTGCCTGAGAATGGCCTCGAACCTTTGATTCTCTGGCCTCCACCTCTGAGTGCCGGGATTAAAGGCATAGACCGCCCAGGGCAGCGTGCATGTCAGGCAAGCACTTTCCCGCTGGCTATATCCCCAGTCCTTTTTTACTCTCTGAAAGTCTCATGGAGTTGGTCAGACTGTGAACACGCTCTTTAGACCGTGTAGGCCTTACACTTTTCTACCTTCCTGCCTCAGCCTCTTGAGTGGCTGGGGTCATAGGCCTGTGACACCAGACCCAGGTCTCTCAGAATTATTTACCTGCTTAGTGTTGGTGAGTCTAACAACCCAACCCTGCTCTGTCTTATAAACTGGTTGGGTAGAGGAGTGAAAGACTGCTTCTGCCCTTTGTGTGATGCCAAAGGAGCTCCTGGGACATAAATCTGTCAGCTATTGTCTCTGCTGCAGCCTTTGGCCAGAAGGCCAAGACCACAGAACAGTCTCCTTCACTGCCCTGCAATGCATAGATTGGTTTAGGCAAACCCAGACTCAAC